TTTACATCTGAAATTGAAACTACAAAAATCAATTTGAAATATTGCTGAGTGATTAAATTCTAAAAACAATAGGACGGGAAAGATAAAAAAAAATTTGCAGCAAATAAAGTAAGACATTCATTTGGTAAAGAATCACTCTGTTTAAATGGTTTATTCTGAAATTCTGGTGTAAAAATTTGTTCCATGGCATGGTTAATTTATTTTTCCCGGTTCACTCTTCGAATTTCCCGGTTTTTCCCGGTTTTTCCGGTTACTTTTCAAATTCCCGGATATTTCCTGCTATTACCGGTTCTCCCGGTTCGCTGGCCACCCTGTAAATTGTACTACGAAACAATGAATTATCGGCTCTGTAAAGCTAACGCGATTGAGCCTTTCAAATAAAAGACCTAGATAAAACAATTTGGCCTTAGAGGTACGCAAATAACACCGTGAAAATTTAGCTCCAATTTCAGTAAAGCCCTGTGGCCAAAAACTGGAGCACTAGTGCCATAACTCTGACCCTTACCCTACTTACTGTATTTATTTGACTATCATCTAGATTTAGAAGATTTACATGAAGGCTATGGTGGTGGTGTGAATGAGTAATTTTGAAATTTTGAAAACGCTGAAAACTGGGTTTGTTTAAAGAAAAAACAACCCATCTCAAAGAATCTTATATCAAATATTTTGATGTGAAAGGTAATTTTACCGATGATTTTTTTTATCAAACTCTCCACTTTTCCCTTGGTTTTCAAGAATATTCTGATCGAGTTATCACCCTATTAATAATCATGAAAATGGCCCACTCCATTAGCTCAATCGGTAAAGGCGCAGCTATAAAGCAAGACCATGCTGGAGGCGGCTGAGTTCAATTCACGGCTCGGTGTAGAAACTTTTCCGAGTTGAAATTTTCATACAATTGTACTAATGCAAAAATGGCACTAGCTTAGCTCTCAATTAACTGTGGAAGTGCTCAAAGAATACTAAGTTGAGGGCCGGCGTAACGTCCCAGTAGGGATGTAATAACACCAACGAAGGAAATGGCCTAAACACCGGAAAAAACCACCTCTAACCTTGAACATTACTTAACAATGCACAAATCAAGCTGAACATTGACAGATTCTCTTCATCGACTTTCTCTTTGTATTCCCAAGGCCATGTGAAGACATTCCCAGGTATTTTCAGCAAAAATAAGCTTTTATCTAGCATCTAATGCGACAAACACAACAAGAAACTGTTATGTTACTTAGGACCTAATGCAATGTTCAGCTTGAAATGGTCATGCAAATTAATTTCAATCAAGTCGAACCAGCTATAAAGAGCTATATATAAACCCAATTTCAGATTCTACCCTCACCGATTTGCATATAACATTGCATAATTGTTCGTTATGGGCAATCATAATTCAAAATTATGCTGAAATTCGACCATTTTGGTCGAATTTCAGCAAATAATAGTACAAAACCGTCAAAAATGCGTCTGAGAGAAAGTTGAAGGAAAATATAAATATCGGTCAAAGTTGTTGGAAATAGAAAAAACTGCTCCCAATTTAAAAAAAAATAATATTTCCAATAAAAAACAAATTGACAGATTTTGTTTTTAATAATTTTTAATGCTTATTAAAAATTATAACTTTTGTTGAAAACAGCGAAATGCGATCAACAGCACTAGAATAGCCTTAATAACTCTAAAAAGGCCTTAAGGATGATGTTAATTGAAAATAAGTGTTATGGGTATTTCAATGCTAGTTTAACTTGCGTTCTTTGATATCTAGAACAGATACTAACTTAGAAGTATAATTTTCAACATTTTTAATTTGATGTAAATGTCGGTTTCAGCACCCCTTTACTATTTTTGGCAACACAAATTTAAGCGTTAATTTGACTGCATTACCCCATCACAATACTTAGCTGAATGTATTCAAACGATTATCTAGTCTATCAGCTTCAAACTGATTACAAACAATTGTGCAATCCTGTTAGGCCAGATTTTTATTTAAATGAAATATACACATGTATACCACCATTTTGAACAATTTTACCTGGTGTCTCAATTTTCGGCAGATGCTTCCAAAAATTTACTATTTTGTGATCCTAAAATTGAGCATATTTGTAGTTCTTTGGCGAACGTTTCAGCTCAATTGATCATAAGTTAACAAAGTTACATCATGTCAAAGTTGACCAGTTTGTATGAAAATCGGTATGCGCTGCTATTTTATCGAACAAAACTGTATATGTATGTTTAAATACATTTAAATTATGCATAAAACCGAATGCGCTTGAGTCAAAGAGGTCGCTAGGTTAAATAGGTCATAGCTAAGGCAGCAGAAATTTTCCTGGATTTTGATTTTTCTGTATCAAAAAGCTTCAAAAAGAATGGTTTTAACAACCCTTATAATTAACTCAGAACACAGAATTTATTTGTAATGTTCTTAATAATTTCCTGAGGATCATTCTCCTTAGCTCTTTTTAGAATTTCCGTATAAGAAACATGCAATTCTCTCTGCAGAACAATCCGAAAATTTCTTGAAATTCAGAGATTTTGGAGATATTTATCGAATTTTTAATGATTTTCCGAAGAATTCGCTGAACCTTCCTTTCTCGATTGAATTCTCCTTAAATTTATCATTAAATTCACGTCTGAAAACTGAGGGTTATCTTGGAGTTCTCTTCTGAATTCTTCTAAAAGTTCACTTGGAATTCTCGTCACGATTCCCTAGAAATTCTTCTCCGAATTCCCTGGCATTCGTCTCGGAATTCATAGGAAATTGCTCCTGAATTAGATAAGAAATAAGAACTATCCATAACATTCAATAGCATCAAAGTTCTTCTTGGAATTTCCTAGGAACACGCATCACAACTCTCTTTGAATTCTGCTCAACACTTATTTGGAAACTTCATTAGAATTGGACCTGAAATCTTCTTCACATTCGCCTAGAATTCTCCTAAGAGAAACTTCAAAATTCTACTCAAAACTCTTCTTTAATTTCACCTGGAGCTCTTCTCACAATCACTTTGGAATTCTTCTCACAATTTCCTTGGAGATTACACTGCCATTCCAGAGCAAAACGATATAGCGGCTCTTAGAATTTCATAAACATTGGTAGTTTTGTTCCTTATCGCATGTTTTATTTTGTCATTAGGGTGACCATTTCCATGAGTGGTCCAAAAAATCAGTTTTCTTTTCCAAAAATAATATTTTTTTAAACTTTTGAACCACTGGGCCGATTTCAAAGATAAAAATATCAAATGAGAGATAATTTAAAAAAATATATAACGAACAATGCATAGGGTACTAAGTAACATTGACAGATTCTCTTCGTCGACTTTCTCTTTGCATCCTCACGGTTATTTTAAGACATTCTTCGATGCAATCGGGGTAAATATTTACATTATTTGACTAATCTCGCGTCACTTTTCAAATAGACCAATGTAACAAATGTAAACAAATCGAGTTAAGCGATACAAACTATTGCTCTTCTATCATTGTATGTGATACAAAAACATCCATCCAAATTTACTTTCATTTATTTAAGATAATCATTGATCAAAAATTGTCCAATGTACAATTTGAAATGATGGGTACATGATTGTTACTTCGGTCATTCGGACTGCCTAACATGATTGGTGCTCATTTTCCAAAGGCGGGGCCAATCTAAAGTTAGGTACTGTACTCTGAAATCTGTGAAAGGGAATCTAGTATCATGTAGACGTCCAATGTAACACTCATAGATTATGTCATTGAGGAAAATCGTCCAATGTAACATGTCCGATGTACACCTCGACTTGTCAAAACGTCCTATGTGGTTTTTTCTATGTTGTAGCATGAAATTCAAAGTAAAATTGTAATTTTACCTTTTCTTTTGAATTTTCAACGTTATTATACAGTGACTGCATTAAAAATAGTATTGCAAATTGTATTGTTTTTAAACAGTTAAAATAATAATCTGTCGAACTTCAACTTAGGTTTTCTCAAAATGGTGAATATGTTACATTGGTCTATTTGAAAAGTGACGCGAGAAATCTCTTTTCTTCATTCAAATCGTTTTTCAATAATCAAACGTCAGGATTACCTGGGTGTTGTCAAATAAGATAAATATTTCCATTGCTTGCATCAAAGAATTCCCAGCTATTTTCAGCACACAGATCGATGAAAGAAGCTATTATCTATCTTCTAATACGACAAGAAACGGGTTGGTACCCAAGTTATTACTTAGGACCTAATGCATTGTTCAGCTTGAAATGTCACAGGCAAATGATCTGTATAATTGTGACAAATTAGACTAATTTGTCATTTTCACATGACGGTCATCAAATTTGACAGTCAGTCCTTGAAAAGTCAATATCGTATCAACACAAGAATAAGACAGTCCACAGTTAATTTCCTTGCATGATAAAGCTACCAAGCATAAATTGATGCTAACTATTTAGAGCTAGATTCCGCATTCGAACATCGATCGAAAAGTTGTAGATCACCTGTTTTAAATACCATGGAAAGAAAAGGGCTCAATATGATGTATGAAGTATTCTAGTCACGTAACCCTCCACAGCATTCAAGCCTATTTAATACTGATCTATTCAAAATTATACCGATAAAAAGACAAGCCTGCCCAAAGCTTCATCGTTCCTTCGATCTTTTTACTTTTTCCTCATTTAATGAACCGCAGCATCCCACCAGTTCGATCGAAAAAAGACGATGATGATGATGCGCTAATAAAGTAGAGAAAAAAAACATACAGCATCAACAGAAATTCCCTCCCAAAGAAGCAAAGCAAGGAAGCGCGAAGAATACAAACAAAATCCAACCCGAAAGGTAACTATTTTCGGAGTAAAAACTTGTTTTTGACATTCTTCTCCTCGTTCCTCCTCTTCTCTTGCGCGTTTTGCTTCTTTTGCTGCATGACTCCACTTACAACTCGTTCGTTTTGTTTCAATTCGTCTGTCCGTCTGTTTTGTGATCGTAGTCGTTCGTACAACTTAGTGCTATAGTATAGTGGAGGTAGATAATCATGACACTTACACATGCTTATATTCGGCTCCATCGGCAATCTGACTGGCTGCAATGTTGTTTCTTTCGGCTGCTTCAACTCCTCTACTCCCGTGTGTGTGCGAGTGTATATTTATCGATAGCCTCACTACCACTCCATTCCACAATCCGACTCGAAGTGCACCTTCTTCTTGTCGACAACTCCAACAATAATTCAGCTGCTGTCGATCAGTGCTGCTTCCACTGCACTGTGGTTGATGAATGAAGCACCTTCTCCAGCATTATCACTATTTTCTAATTGATACCTGCAGCACACTTGGCCCAGAACTCAGATGGGCTCTTGCACACATATGGGAGACTTCATTTACAAAACTCCAATTTCTTCTGTCGAAATTCAAACTTTTTTCACATTCTTCCACTCTCCATCATTTGATCTCTCGCTTCATTCTTCCATACTTTGACAGCAAATCTTCCATAAATTTTAAGATGATTTTTCCTCTCCCATCACATTCACCGTTTTCTCTTCGGTTCTTCTCCTGTCTGCTGCCCCACACTTTGCCCGACGTTCTTAGTATATACTTCACTTAGCATTCTCTTTTCTTCCTGATTCTTCTCCAGTAGCACCACTACTGCTTCTTCAGTATTTCTGCCTCCAAAAACTTCACTTCTGCTGCCACCACTCCTTTTTCGCTCTCTCACCCAGAGCCATCATTTCGATACACATTTTTCTGCCTTCAATTTCTTCTGATGATGACGGCGATGTATACAAACATCTATTCACGACCATTTACTGCCATCATTCTTCTTGGCCTCTTGGCCTCCTCCAGCTCTTCGATATCGTTTCCTAATTCACACCATCCCGCGAGTAACACTTCCACTAAACACTGACTGGTGTGATAATTTTACCAAAATATGGAAATTGCAGTTGTGGATAAAGAAAGACTGCGGAGCTTTTTTTTCTGCGTTGGACACACACTCTTCTCACTCTCCGCCACTCTCTTTCCAAATCGGTTGGGAGCAAACCACCCCTTCTTCATACACACCTCTTCCACAGCAGCTTCCTTTGGTGGCTGAACCCGAGACGCACAGAATGGAACTAGTATCCTCCACCCTTTACCCTGTAGTACCAGCACCTTAACATATAGGGGGCGGGGAGGGGTGGGGGTCAACGCTACGATACTCAACACGAAACGATTGAATACGGTCTACCAACCAACTTCTTCTCCACTATCCCGTATGTGTACGACGTACGAGCGACGGCTGACGACTGACACCACTACAGCGCTAACGGAGTTTCATTCCCTATCATGAGTATCGCCGTCTGCGATTCTTTCCGACACAAGCCGAAACCCAGTGCAAGCTGAACACGATCGTTCAGCGACGAACTGTCAGAGTCAGTCCGACTGTCACTGTCAGCTAAACTGTGGCTTATTCATTTCACTCGGTTATGGTTATGAATGAATAATGTGATTGCGGGAAGTTTTGAATGAAACAATCGTCAATCAATGTTAGTTATAAACGCCAGGACAATAAAATATGCATTTACTATCTAAGAAGCTGAAAACATGAGAAAATAACATGAGAATACAGTCACTGTTGTATGAAAATTGAAATACTTGCATTGGGTGGCATTTTGTTTCCTACTTTAGCCACTGGCGCTTGAGTAGATGAGGAGATCATACTATAGATGCTCATGCGATAGATGTGCGGATATGTACCAAATATCCATACGATTTGACGGTCCGTTTCGATACCGTGAGTGGAAGTGACATTGGGCCAAACAAATTCGTTCGCTACCTTACAATATTTACATTTGAGTAAGGAAAACATGTGAATATATTCATCAATGATATTTTTACGACTGTCATGGAAATGGTTGATTGGAATTAATTTCTTATTTTACTAAAATTTTAAAAAATATATATATATATATATCAATGTAAAACCTAATGGGGAAGTGACATTGGGCCTAAACATAAATTTGGTTGAAATAGGGAAAATGGATGTAATGTCGGCCTAAATGCCCCTAATTTGGGCCCATACATAAATTCAGCAATCGACTAAATTTTCAATAGTGACCAAACATATCCATTAGTACCGTCCCAATGACGCGTTTATCTAGATACAATTGATAAATAGCAGATTTTTAGCGATTAGAGCCATTTCCCCTATCTTAGAATATGAAAATGTTTCGTAGCTTAGCTGTTTATGATCACAATGTACTTCAAATGTATGGCTAAAGATTACGTGGACCCTTTGTCTATCCACATAAAAGTGTGATCAAACTTTTTTTTTTACTGTGAACGTTTTTAAAAACGTGTTTTTGCTACTATTGATAACACTTAACTTACCAGCACTATTCAAATAAAACAACTCAAGACCAACAATTGAAAAGGCCTCAACTCCATTTTGTAAACAAACCTTGAAGGGCCATTTTGTGGCGAACCGAAGTCCACCAACGCAAACCAACAAAATGAACAGGTAGGGGAAATTCTCTTCTATCCGTTTTTTTTTATGTTTGCGAATGTAGGTTTCGGTTCGCGAGAAAATGACCTTATACGGTTTGATTACAAAATGTAGTTGAGGCCTTTTCAATTGTTGGTCTTGAACTGGTAAATGTCATCTACACTTTACTCCAAGAGTTCAACAAACATATTCTAGTCTTCATTTTCTGTGTATTCAAGATCAAGCTCAGTACCATGTCGTGGCTAAGCGACGCATATGGTTTTCCCTTTCCCGATAACTCCCGTTCATCGTTCAGACCAGCATCTCTCTCGTTGCTAGACGCGTATTGTACCGCAGGGCTTCGGCAAATAAATGGCATTCCGAATGCAAACAACCGTTTGCTCGATCTGTGCTTTGTCAGTGAAGAATTGGGACAAAGTTGTTCTGTGTTCATGCTCCGGCACCGCTCATCAAAAACTCCAGGCATCATTCTCCTCTACTGTTGACGCTTGGGGTCAAACCTGAGAATCCATTTCTGGACTACGCCGAAAACGTCTACTACGAATTTTTCAAAGCAGACTTTGAGGGAATGAATATCTTTCTCGCTAGTGTGGACTGGAATGCAACACTTGGTAACGGGGATGCGAATTTTGCAGCTTCGACCATCTGTAGTATCCTGCTTTACGCTATCGATCGGTTCGTGCCAAAAAAACTTTAGTCGTAAGCCTGACAAACCCGCTTGGTCGAACTCCGAACTCAAACGTTTGAAATGCCTGAAAAGGGCCGCTCTGAGGAAACATAGTAAACATCACACAGATTCTACGAAAGCAAATTACGAACGCGCAAACAAAGACTACAAATGCCTCAATATTAGCTTATACAATGCCCATCAGTCTCAATTGCAGAGTCGTCTCAAAGCGAATCCTAAGAATTTCTGGCGCTATGTGAACGAGCAACGGAAAAAACGGGATTGCTTTCTAGTATGACCGACGGCGTTTTTTATGCTTGTCGGGTGTTTTCATCATTGCGACCATTTTTCTGATCTATTGTGATATATTTCCGTTTTTTTTAGATATATCCAGATGCCGTATCATTCCTCGTCGAACGTTCGACAGAGCAAGTTTGCTTACGCTACTCTCCCGCCGCCGCAAAAGTGTTTTTCGGAAAAAAGTGGATTTTTTTTCTCTCCCCGATCGGAGTTTTTTTTTACACCTTCAGGTGTGCAGTGCCACAGGCGGACATAAACGTTCCCCGGAGGAAGCAACCATCTCAGCCGAGTCTGAAGATTGGATTGTCCAACGGTAAAACTATCAACCACCACCTAGACATCGCATCATACGGCATCAAAAGGTCATCACCCGTATACACCGTACAACGAAGCAGCAGAACTGCAGATACGGTCTATCCAGACCGGACGGTGCCCTTTGTGCTAAGCCACGTGCTGCAACAATAGAGCGATCATCTCTGCTTCATCGCACAGTGGAGTTTGTAAACGCGCCATCCCGGCATATAGAGATAAGTTAATTTTTATCTCAGCCTAATTAATTTTTTTTTTTTTTTTTTTTTTTTGTAAATAATTTTTTTTTTGTTTGGTTTTTGATTTGCTAATATTAAGTAATCCCCCTGCAGCGTTGAATTTCCTTTCTTACAAATTATTAATTTTATTATTATTCATTATCTTATTTAGTTTTTTTTTGCACATATTTTATTTTATTTTTATTTTTTTAACACTGAGCAATTCACTCACAGTGTTGACTTCCTTTTCTTGTTGTTTCCTTTCCAATTTCAATCCATATATTTGAAATTTGTGGAAAATATAAACATTTAATAACTAAGATTGCAACCAATTCCGTTGCGGTGGTATCTTAAGTCACCGCAATGGATGATACAAATAAAGGCGGGGGTCTGTCGCTTGACATCTCTGATGATGAGTCAATAAAGTCTCCCTCATTTGAAAAGCTTGATAGCTCTGAGGAAATGGATACCCTCGAAGAGCACCTTGATCAAACCACCAGCAAGAACACTGGAGCCTATCCAAAAGTGAAATCTCTACCACAGCCCCCTTCTCCTCCATCGCCGCCTTGTCCACCATCGCCACCTTGTCCTTATGTGCCCCCTACTCCACTCCTTCCCCCGAAAATATCAGCGACCCCCCGCCACAAGGCTTACCCTGATGACTCGAAAGGTCCGTGGGTTGTTTTCTTCCGGCCCAAACAAAAACCTTTGAATATTTCTCGGATTTCGAAGGATCTGACAAAACATTTTTCGGCCGTAACCGATATCTTTAAGGTGACGCCAAACAAACTGCGCGTTACCGTTGATAACCTGAAACAGGCAAACCGAATTGTTGCCTGTGAGCTTTTTTCGATCGAATATCGAGTCTACGTCCCCAGTTGTGACGTAGAAATTGAAGGAGTGGTCACCGATTCGAGTCTGACTTGTGAGGATTTCCTGCAAGTCGAATCTTTCGGCATTTTCAAAAACCGTGCCCTTCCGAAAGTCAAAATACTGGACTGCATTCAACTGCAGTCAGTGTCGCACATAGGCACAAACAAAAAGTATACCCTCTCAGATTCGTTTCGTGTGACCTTTTCAGGATCGGCATTACCTGACTACGTCACAATTGGGAAGGTTCGACTACCTGTACGCTTGTTTGTACCGAGGGTAATGAATTGCTTGAAATGCAAACAACTAGGTCACACCGCGGACTTTTGTTCCAACAAACCGCGGTGCGATCAATGTGGGGAGGAGCATACGGAGGGTCCTTGTCATGCTACACCAATATGCGTTTACTGTAAGGATGCTCCGCATGCTCTGAGTGATTGCCCGAAGTACAAACAGCAGGGAGAAAAACTAAAGCGGTCCTTGCAAGCTCGCTCTAAGCGCTCGTTAGCAGAAATTTTGAAAACGACCGCTTCATCTTCCCAAACCACCCCAAAAAGCAACAACACATTCCACCTCCTGCCAGATGATGATCAGGGCTCTGACTCAGAGGTTGGTGAGAGTAGTCCTTTTGTCTTTAACGGCAACACGAGGAAGCGGTCCAAAACAAACGTCACCCAAAAACCTCGTAAGGCCTCTCGTACGGACTCTCAACCTACCTTGACAAATTTAAGAGGTAGCGGAAATGTAGCAAAACCCCCACCACCGGGATTTCAAGTTTGTAATTTTAACAAAGACTTTCCGCCACTTCCGGGATCATCTAAAACCCCAGATATCCCAGTTTTTCAGCCAGAAAATCAGCTAAATAACCAGCAAGAACATGATGCCATGTTCACGTTTTCTGGAATTGTGGAGAGCATCTTCAATATATTCAACGTCTCTGACTCAACTAGGAACATTATTAATTTAGTGCTTCCATTTGTGAAAACTCTTTTGAAGCAACTAGCTTCTAGGTGGTCCTTCCTTGCATCGATCATATCTTTTGATGGATAATTTTCCGAATGAGGTCGGAGATATGATCTCTCTTCTTCAGTGGAACTGTAGAAGTCTTATACCGAAACTTGACGCATTCAAATTTTTAGTTCACAACTCACTTTGTGACGCATTTGCTCTTTGTGAAACATGGCTTTCTTCAGACACCGATCTCCCTTTCCACGATTTTAACATTATTCGCCTTGATCGAGCAGATTCGTATGGAGGGGTGCTTCTAGGGATTAATAAGCTCCATTCCTTTTATAGAATCGATCTGCCTTCCGTGACAGGCATTGAAGTTGTCGCGTGTCAGGTAAATATTCGAGGTAAAAGCCTCAGTATTGCCTCAGTATATTTTCCTCCGAGAACTGCGATTTCTCGCCAAGGTCTCTCAGA